TGAGCAAATTCTGTACCCTAACTTTTGCCCTTAACATGGATTTCAGGGCAGTTCTGACCACCAGTTCACTAGAGCAATAGAACCAAGTTACTTTTTTTTTTTTCTTTCCAGAATTTCCTAATTATTTTATTACATTTTACTAGTGTCTTTTTTTTATTATTATTAATTTCAATGAACATCTACAGAGATTTTGGAATTCCATTCATTCATTGTTGCACTTTTCTCCCACCCACTCACCCCCACCCCCAGTTCTCGCCTCTCCTTGAAAAGCAAAAGAAAAACTCCCTCATTGGTACACAATCCCCCCCCCCCCCCCGCATATCCCCACTCCCACCCCAAGTATACTCCACTCTGCAACCCTCATTCCGGACTCTTATAATAATCATAATGCCCTAAAATAATATTAAACTATTCTCTCCCTTATCTTTTTGTGAGTCTCTGGTATCTTTTTGTGAGGAGAACCAGTAACTTAGTGCATAGCACATTTGCTGCTAAACAAAAGGTGAGCACTTTGAATCCACCAGCTGTTTTTCTTGGGGGGGGCGGGGGGAAGGGGCAGTCTCCTCTCACAAAGATCCACAGTCTCAGGAACGTGATTAATCAGAATCAACGTGAAGGGACTAGGTTTGGTCTCTTTAAACACATGAAAAATACACACAACATATTGTAGTTATAGTCATCTCTACCAGCTGTTTGTTGTTTTACTATGTCGGCTTGTGATGCTGGAAGATAGGTCATTTCAAACATATCCCATCAAGGTAACCATGGTAGAAAGGTTTCAGCAAAGCTTTCAGACTATGAAAAAAGGTCTGGCCATTTCTGAAAATATGTCAGTGAAAACAGCATGAATCAGAAGAGAATACTATCCAACAAAGTACTGGAGGACGAGCTCCTCAGGTTAGAAGGCACTAAAAGTACACAGTGGTCCTAACAGTGGACTCGAACACATTAAGGTGGCGATGTCTCAGGCCTGGACACAGTGTTGTTCTGTTGTATGTGAGGTTGCCACGAGTCAGAGCTGACCAGGCAGCAATTAACTATACAGTCATCTGAATAGGGAATTTTATCCTAATTCCATATTTGATTAGAAAATTACCCTAAAGCTAAAACCCTGAAGTGTTCTCTTTGGTCATTAGGTCATTAAGGTGTTAGCAACCTGGGGAAAATTAAGGAGGATATCATGGTTAGAAGGATGGAAGGGCAGTGCAGGACAGGCAGGCCTTGGATGAGGTGGACTGATGGTAACTGGGGTAAGTGGGGTAGTTGTGTCAGACACAGAGAGATTGGCTCAGGTTAGAGCAGGGGTCAGAGCTATTGTGTTTAGGGTTGCTATGTATGAGTCCTAGTTGACTCAATGGTACATAACAACAACAATAACTTAGAATTAAGATGAAATGCCAAAAGAATGAAGAAAAATAGATAACATCTCTAGGAATTACCTATTATCAGGGTCTGCAAACTTGTTGAGAAAGACTAGACTATGGACACATCTTAGGGAGACTTTTCCAGAAGGAAATTAATCCAAAGACACAAACAGGTGCAAAATACATGAGGAGATAACTGTTTACGTGAACTTTAAGGAAAAACTGAGTCAACAAATCTGTCACTGCAGGTGGGTGGGGGCCAAGGTAGCAGACTATGACTAGCTTTCACAAAAGAACATGGAGTTTGTCAAAAGTTGAGTTGTCAGTGAAAGAGACGAAGATTCTCAAAGAGATGTACTGACACAGTGTCTCCAACAAGGAGCACAAGTACAGAGGCAAGAGTGAGGCGCAGGGCACAGGGGCTCCACTGTGCTATACCCAAGGTCTCCATGAATTGGAACCAACTCAATGCCAACAGCAACAAGGACAGCTCAGACATGATGACTGAGCATCGATCCATATTATTTGACGCCAATTGTTGCTTCGAGAATCCATCTCTCGCTATTAACTGAGGCCATCACTGTGCAATGTAAATACCCTTTCCATGTTCACAGTATCATCTTTCACTCAAGACTACTTAATTACTGTCCTTTAACATTCATAGCAAATAGCAGAAGTAGGATGATAAGCAGGGAAAGCAGTAACTATGTCCATTGACTATTACCTCACATGCTTGAATGTGAGCTACCAACTATCTGTAAACTTATGGACAAGGAGCTCTGGCAGCCTAATGGTAAAAGACTGCACTGCGATCCACAAGGCATGCAGTTGAAATCCATTAGCTGTTCCACAGTTAAAGGATGGGCAATCTCCTCCCCTGTGATTAAAGCACCTCTGAAAACTTGCTGGAGGATCAACTAACTACGGGTTTGTTCCAACTCGAAAGCACACAACAATACCATTCTGTATTTAGGGAGCTCTGGTGGCCTAGTGGCAAGAAGCGAAACTGTAATCCCAGAGGCATGCAGCTGGAATCCACCAGATGCTCTGCTGGAGAAGGAAGGACAATCTCCCCTTGTACAAGTCAGATCCGATTTGATTGTGTGTACACACACACACACACACACACACTATTTTGACCCCTTAATTCTATAATAAACCTGAAACCCTGACGCTGGTGGCTTGGGGCATTCAGTTTTTTCTGTGCAGCATTTTGTTTTCTTTCACTGTTGTTAAGTGCCATCTACTCAAGTACAACTCAAGGCTATCCTATGAGCAACAGATCTTAACTCTGCCCTGCCCTGCGCCAAGCTTATCATCCACTAGTGGACATCTGAGTCCACTAGCCTAGTGACAATAAGTTGCACTACAGTCCTGAAGGCATGCAGTTCGGGGCCACCAGCTGCTCTGCGAGGGAAGAACAATCTCCTCCCTTGAAATTAACTGCCTCTGAAAACAGGCTGAAGGGTCAGCTATGGATCAATTCCATCTCGACGGTACTTAAAAACTCTGATTGAGAAATGGATATTGAGAACCTTGTTTTCTTATTATTTGGTTTGAGACGGTGAGGTTGGCTCAGAATACAGCAAGGTTCAGAGCCACTGTTCATAGGGTTTCTACGCACAGTCACAGTCGACTCTTGGCACTTAATAACAAAAGAAGTAAGCCGCTCCTCCTCCCGTGGGATTTACAGTCTCTGAAAACCCTCTTGAGAGTCAGCTATGAGGAGTGCCTATACAGCAGGATTACCTAACTAGACCAAATCAGACCAACAGTGCTTCCTTTGGATGGAAGAAGGCTGTCCTGGTTTGGGTGGAGAAGATTACTGAAACCACAACAGTAAACGCATAATGGAGGCAAAAGGGTCTTTTCCTGGCGCACAGGCAAGCCAGCTTCCCAGGCTCCATCCTGGCCACAGGAGCTCCCCTCCAAGGATGCCAAGTAGCCTTGGGAGCAAGCCACTACAGTGTAATTTGCCTTCACCCATTTTGCCTGCGCGAGACTGGAGGAAGGTGCTATCAGCGCTGAGTAGCGAGAGAGCGGAAGGAGAGGGGGCCGCACCAAGACGACTGGCCCAGCATCACGTAGGCAAGGCGCAGCCGGGGGAGGGGCCAGAGCCTCGCAGCGCCACAACCTGTCACTGCGCCGGGCGCGCCACTGCCCCGGGCTCTCTCACCCGGGCCAGCCGGCTATTCTCAAGGGCGAAGGGAAGGTCACAGGCCACGGGTGGGGAGGAGGCATGGGCACTGAGAACGCAAAAGGCTTAGGGCATCTCTTGAATATCTCTGCACTGGTGCATGGTCATAAAAAATAGGATCACCAGAGCTTTACAACTCATCTGAGACTTGAGGAAGAGAGAGGGAAGAAATAATGATAATGATGATAATAATGTAATGCAATTTCCAGCTAAAGCAGCCTTTAAGGCACGATGTAACTGTAGGAGACTAATTTGCTAGGAAGCTTTGCCCCACTTCTCTGTGTCCTGTGGGCACCGCCACTAACAGCTAGGGATTTGCACTAGATCACGAAATCACACCTCCTAGGAAACCCCAGCGCGCCCGCGTGCCAAACAAGAGCTTGGGTCCATCCAGATCCCTCCACAGGATTCTAAACCCGCTAGCAAGACTGTGCCAAGACTCCTTTCAACTCATCAACGATTTCACTACTCTCTCTTTCCTAGAATCATCCTCCAGGATGTGTGCGGTGGGGTGCGGGCTGGGCATGCTAGGCGTCCACACCTCCGGTGACGTCCCGGGAGTCCTCTAGCTTCCTGCCGCCGTGGCCGGGACGTCTTTCCCAAAGAGAGGAGGCTGGTACGGGGAGGGCTTGGTGATCTATTTTAATTTTCAGTTTTGTCACGAGCCAGAAGAGGACAGGTGATCAGCTTGAAAGTGGGGCCTTTACAAAACATCTCCCACTTAAAATAAGAAGTGGTCGCAAGCTGCCGGAGGAAACACTCAGGCGGCGACCCCTGCTCACGCCGCCGCAGCCCCTGCAATGCAGCAAAGCTGCCCCCTCCCCTCCAGGCGCAGCGGAGATGCGAATCCACAAGAGTCTCAGCAAGGATAACCAACCTTCCCCCCCACCCCTTTCCTTCTTAGCTCATTTCGGGGGATAGGGTTGGAAAGAGTGAAGAGAGCAGAAAGGTGCAAAGACTGAGCTGATTGATGCTGGATGATGTGGCAGCGAAAGAGCCGTATCTAAAGTTTCAATGGGCACGCCTGGATTTTATTTTAGGATTCAGATGCATAATGACCTCCGACGGCATTTCAGGAGACTCAGCCTACAATCTCAATTTAAAATTAGGGAAAAAGCGGAGGTGGGCAAGAAATGGATGCTTCCTGAAAAGCAGACCTCATCACCGAATCTTTTCTCCAGCCTCCAAACCCACCCTTCCTCTCAGCGAATCTGGAAGCTCTGCTGCCAGATTTAGCTGGCAACAGGTATCCTAGCTATATTCCAGGGCGCTGGAAGCGTCTTCCGGGCAACTTCCGCCCTTATCCCCAACCTTCCCGCCCGAGCATGAGGCTCCGCCAGCCACAACCTTCGGTGCGCGCCGACTGCAGCCTGCGGCTCGGCGTGCCCCATGCCCAGCAAGCATCCTCCTGTGCTAGTAACCCACGGGGCATTAGTCACCTTGGGCATCCCCGCCGCTGGTCAGGACTCCGATGGCTTTGCCAGCCCCAGAGAGCTGTTCCAGATACTTCCTCAGGAAACCAGTCGGTGTAGGGGGGACATCCATGGCGAGGAGGAACGTCGAGAGAAAGGCTGCCTGGGTTACACTGCGCCTGTAAGGTCCCTGCTCTGTCTTCCCGCCGCCACCGCCTACACACAGCGGTCTTTTAGAGCAGCTCGGCCAGCCGCCTACTCGAGGGCTCAGCTCCAATGCCAATAGATGGCAGTGCGGACCAATGATCGCCGACGTGGGGAGGAGCTCGACCAATCCTGTTCTCAGAAGGCGGGCTGACAGCGCCAACGCCACGCCCCTCCGCAGAGGCTCTGCGGCCCGGGTCTAGCAGGTTATAACCGTCGTGGGGCCGGGGGCGCGAGCGGAAGCGTTGACACCTCAGTCCGGCCGTTCCTGGCGGTTAGTGGAAAACTGACCAGCCACAGAGGTGTGAGCCCCGTTTCCTGCAGGGTTCGGAGCCGGGCGGCGGGAGTTCCGGAGCCGCGGGACGTCCCCGTTTCTGCCTCTGGACTTCCCCCGAGCTTCACCTTCCGCCCAGAGATCCCGGTGCAAGGAAGGAAGTGTGGGCGATTCCTCAAAACTGCTACCCAAATGTGGGCGTCGCTGGCTCCAGCATTAGGGATGCTTTCATTTTCCCTTACCGCCCCAGGAGCTGTGGCTCCCCATTGGCTGTCAAAGCCCCGCACTTGTTGAAGGAGGCGGGGAACAGAAGGCTGAATGACTTGAGGCGCATCCTGAAGAGACAGCCACATGCCCACGTTGGTCTAGATGTTGAGAATCGCAATGGGGGATGGGAAAAGAGGAGGAAAGCTTAGAGAGTGAAAGGAGATACTGCAGTATCTCTTAGGGAATATATATGTGTAACAAGCCCCCTTACCCATTTCTGATGAGTGCAATCGCTCTAATGGTGTAAGCCTGAGGAGGGTGAAGTCATGATGACTAGGAAGCACTGAGTGTGGTTTTGAAGATGCTACAGCCTGCAGAACTCTGTACAGCCCACTTGGGGGATTCCTGCTGCTGGAAACAGCGAGCATTCGTGCGCCTTTGGAAATTCAGCTCCCACTTTGAAAATTCAGGCATTGTGAATTTTGTCTGATCTCAGTACCCTTTAGCTTCTTTTAAAAAGGGTATTTTATCATTTAAAACTTGAAAATGGATTTTTAAATGATAGGCAAGTCAACAGTGCAAATGTGGCACAGGAAAAAAGTGGAGTACTGAAAATAATGCAATGCAATAGCATTCAGTAGCTGTTAAGATTATGAAGATAATATCTCTTAACGTGGAAATAAGTTCAAGATATAGTCATAAATGGAAAAGCAGGTCTAGACGTGGTATGTAGACCCTAGGTGATGGGAATGGTTAAGCTCCATTAGAGATCCCTGGTGGCTTAGTGGAAAGCAGTGGCCCTGCTGAGTCAAAGTCACAAGTCCTATTCCCAGAAAGTTAGGCAGTCTCTCCCCATGGGAATCAGTGCCTCTGCTGTGAGTTGGTTCCAACTAGACAGTACACAATGATACTGACCAAAAAAGATGGAAATTCTAACCTATCTAGAGGTGCCTCTGAAGAAAAGCATACACCTTTCCCAATTTTGAAACATGCAGTGTTTCCTTGCTCTGTTCTTATGACTGCCTCTTGATCCATCTAGAGGTTTTGCATTAGCACGATCGAGTGTTCTGGGATTCCCATTCTTCTCAGAGTCAGCCACAGTTTGTTATGATCCACGCAGTCAAATGCCTTTGCATATTCATTGAAACACAGATAGACATTCTTCTGGTATTCTCTGCTTTCATCTACTACTTCTTAAAAATCAGTCCCTGAAAACTCTATAGAGCACATGTCTACACTGGCACATACATAGAGTCTACTCCACAACAACGTCTTTTTAGTATGTTATTTTGTACCATTGTATCAGAACCAACCTATAGTTGACCTTCCAGCAGGTTTTCAGAGGTGGTACGTTGCACAGGAAGAGATTACCCATCCTTCTTCCGGGGAGTAGCTGGTGGATTCAAACCATGTACCTTTGTGTTGGCAACACAGTTCCTAACCACTAAACCTCCAGTGTTCCCTGGTGTTTTATATAGAAAGACGAAAACATCTTTTCTGGTTTTTTATCTGGCTTCTCCTCCCCTAGTCCTTGATTTGGAATATGTATATTTTAATATTCTACATTGCTTTGGAAAGAGCTCTGGTGGCCTAATAGTAAGGAGCTATATTGCCAACTCAGAGGTATATGGTTCAAAGCCACCAGCTGCTCTTTGGGAGAAAAATGGGCAATCTCCTTTGCTGCAGTTTACTGCCCCTGACAAAAGTCAATCAATGTGTCGGTTCTGACTAGATGGCACATGATAACAACAACAACAACATTGTTTTGGCGAGAATTCTAATGGCATAGTCCATAGGGAGTTGCACTGTTAACCCAAAGGTGGTGCCTCTGCTGGTTCAAAGGCACAGTGAGTGACTTCTTTAGAAAATGTTGGCCAATCTTCTCTCAAGTGATTTTGCTCTTACAAACCCTATGGGGAGAATCAGCAATGAATTGTTCCTGACTTAAGGGTAATGAGAGTAAGAGACGTTATTTTGTTTGCTTGTTTACATTTAGTCATAGGTTATGACTTAAGGGTATTGAGAGTAGGAGACATTGTTTCATCTGCTTGTTTTAAGTTTGGGCTTAAGAAAGAATCCTCTAATTCAGACTCTCCTTTTATGGCATAATATTAACATGACAAGCCACTAACAGAAAGGTCAGTGCCTATAACAGAATGATTGCCTCCTGTAAAGATTTATGTCCTTGGAAATTCAATGGAGACTCACTATGGTCAATTTGAACCTACACATTTATTATATACTGTTTGGGTGAGAATATGGCAATGGCTTAGCTGGATCCTTTTGCTTCATGATCAATGAGGTGGATGCCTAGACCTAGCAGTTTCATCTGAAGTCTAATCTGGGGACACTGTGCTTTCCAGTCACATGCACATATGTGGTCATTAGTATTCAGTTTCTCCTAAACAGGACCTTAGTTCTTCCCTGAATGGAGACTACCCTCAACCCTTGCCAGATGACCTTCTCCTAAAATGCAATCATCAAATAAGAACCCAGGGAGCAAGAATGCCAGGAGACATCAGAACCCATAGTCTTTCATAATTTAATCTGAGTAGAGACATTCTACCTCTTTTGCCTGGTGTCATTCATTAGAAGATAGCTGCTAGATCCAGCATTTAATGAGGGTGGAGGACTACCTGTTGTTAGCTGCTGTTGGGTCAACCCCTGTGTTCTCATGTACAAAAGAACATGATTCAAAGCATTTTCATGGGCTGCTTCTTTCCAAATAGATTGCCAGGCTTCTCTCTTTTTTGAAGATGAAGTAGAAACATGGGCATGATGGACTGACTACCTTTAGGCTTCATCTCTGCAGTGAAAATGAAAACCAATGACAGTCTTTAAAGTGCTTCTGCTCCAGCTCTTATACCCATGACCCTGAGAAGAATAGATGTTCCTTCCCCTAGAGGAATGGTCACAGACAAGAGAAAAGGTGTCATGACTGTTGGGAGCTTTCCTTTGTGCCCGGTGAACATTATAAAATTCTTAGTGGACAAACTTCTCTTGGCCACCTCCATCCTTACAGTCATCTCTGGGTGGATGGCTGCAGTTGTTTTTATTAATTACCATGGAATTGACTCTGACTCTTAGTAACTATATTGCTATCTAGTCTCTTCTGATTCACAAGGGCTCCATGTGAGAGAACAGAGCTGCCCCACGGTATTTCCAAGACTGTAAATCTTTACTGAACAGACTGCTACATCTTTGTCCCAAGGACCTTTGTCCCAAGGTAGGTTCATACCACCAGCCTACCATTTGCCTGATGCATACTTAAACCACTGTAGCAACAGAGCTCCTTAGAAATCTAGTAAGGCTCTTAAATTTACAGTGACAAAAACTGAGTTCAGCTGTCCTTTGAAACCCCCAAACTCACATTCCTTCCACAATCAGTCTTCTTTACCTCCTTTTTAAATGATCCTATTCTTCCAGCTACTCAGGCCACAACAATGCAATGGTTCTCCATTACTAATTCCTAAACCTATACATTTAAATCCACCAGCTGCTCCTTGGGAGAGAGATGGAACATCTCCTCCTGTGCAACTTACAGCCTCTGAAAAACCCCTGGAGAATCAACTATGAGTCAGTTCTGACTTCACAGTACACAACAACAGCCATCACAAAACCCATAAGGAATCCTAGAAACGCTACCTTTGGAAGAGTCTTCATCATACCTATAAAAGCACATGATCTAAGCCCTGGCACTCTGACCCAGAGAGAGCCAATGATTTTCTGTTTTTCCTGAGTCTACATACCCACCTTTTTGCCCATCAATTAATGTTCTCAACCCAGAAGCCAGAACGATAGTAGTACACCTCAGTCCTGCCTTTCTTCTTTTTAAAGTGATTCTCCATTTCACTCTGCAAAAGTGCCACCACTACAAGGCCTTACAACCACATTCCTGGCAGTCAATTGTTCTGTCTCCTATTACTGCAGTCCTCCCTTCTCTAATTCCACTGGCCTCCATGCTTTCTGTCTTGTTTCTGTTGCTTCTTCCTCAGCCCTGAATATCCCTTTAATATTCACATGTTGCCTCTTTTCCTTTAGTTCTTTACTTAAGGATCTTTTTTTAAATAAAATTTTATTTTAATTGTTATTTTAATGAACATTTACAGAGATGTTAGATTTTCATTCATTCATTGTTGCACATTTTAACCCCTTGGCCCTCTTTCCCCCTTACTTAAAGAGTTTAATGAGGCATTCATCAAATCTCCTTTCAAAAATTGTAGCATCTATAAATACTGCAGGGGCTCTGGTGTTGAATCTGCTGAGAGTTGTGCTACTAACTCAAAGGCAGTGTCTTTCTGGCAGAAGTCCCATGAGGATAAGATGGTCAGTGTCCTCCCGTGCAATTTGCAGCCTCAAAAAAACCTTTTGGAGGGTCAGCTAGGAGTGGGTTTCAATTCAAAGGAAGTGATTTTTTTTTCTTTTTAGTTTTATACACGTTCTATTCC